CTATTTATCTATCTATATCCATCTATTTATTTATGTATTTATTTATCCATTTATTTATTTATCTATTTATCTTTTTATGTATTTATCTATTTATCTATTTATCTATCTATCTTTTTCTATCTATCAATCTTTTTATATCTATCTTTTCCTATCTATCTATCTTTTTCAATCTATCAATCTTTTTCTATCTATCTTTTTCTATCTATCTATCTTTTTCTATCTATCTTTTTCTATCTATCTATCTTTTTCTATCTATCTATCTTTTTCTATCTATCTTTTTCTATCTATCTATCTTTTTCTATCTATCTATCTTTTTCTATCTTTATTTTTCTATCTATCTCTATCTTTATCTATCTTTATCTATCTTTATCTATCTTTATCTATCTTTATCTATCTTTATCTATCTTTCTCTATCTTTATCTATCTTTATCTATCTTTATCTATCTTTATCTATCTTTATCTATCTATCTATCTATCTATCTATCTTTATCTATCTATCTATCTATCTATCTTTATCTATCTATCTATCTATCTGTCTGTCTGTCTGTCTGTATCCATCTATCTGTATCTATCTATCTGTATCTATCTATCTGTATCTTTCTATCTGTATCTATCTATCTGTATCTATCTATCTGTATCTATCTATCTGTATCTATCTATCTCTATCTATCTATCTCTATCTATCTCTATCTATCTCTATCTATCTCTATCTATCTGTCTGTCTGTCTGTATCTATCTATCTATCTACCTGTATATCTGTATCTATCTATCTATCTGTATCTATCTGTATCTATCTGTATCTATCTGTATCTATCTGTATCTATCTGTATCTATCTGTATCTATCTGTATCTATCTGTATCTATCTGTATCTATCTGTATCTATCTGTATCTATCTGTATCTATCTATCTATCTGTATCTATCTGTATCTATCTGTATCTATCTGTATCTATGTGTATCTATCTGTATCTATCTGTATCTATCTGTATCTATCTGTATCTATCTGTATCTATCTGTATCTATCTGTATCTATCTGTATCTATCTATCTATCTATATCTATCTATATCTATCTGTATCTATCTATATCTATCTATATCTATCTATATCTATCTATCTATCGATCTATCTATCTATCTATCGATCTATCGATCTATCTATCTATCTATCTATATCTATCTCTTTCTCTACGTTTTACCATCTCTATGTTTATCCCTATGTTTATCTATCTCTATGCTCATCTGTCTCTATGTTTATATATCCCTATGTTTATCTATCTCTATGCTCATCTGTCTCTATGTTTATATATCCCTATGTTTATCTGTCTCTATCTGGATCTATCTCTATCTCTATCTATCTATCTATCTATCTATCTATCTATATATATAACATTGGTTGATCCACCATGACCAGGGAATCTACTGGGAATACATTTTATTCATGCCCCGAAGCAAATTGAAGGTGGATCACAGTGTGAATAGGTTGGTTTTGTGGGGAAAACCGGAAGGTCTGTGAAATTTCCTGCCAATCCGATGTGCCAACTGAACAGGATAGGTCCAGGTGTTTGTGCAGCGATGGTTCACGATCGCCGCTTGATTTTAAAGCATTTGATCCAGTACAAAAGCAGAACCCCACATTTCAGGAGGAAAATTATCATAAGATTATTGCTTCTCAAGTTCTCAAGTATCGAGTTTTCACAAGGGCTGGATGTTGCACTTGAAAACCGCCCAAGATCATTCCCGACAGAAGGGCTATGCCAGTACATCATTTGGTTGGTGGTTTTCACCTATCCAATAAAATTACCAACTGGGTGAGTCATTGAGTTGGCATCTTTCCCATGTTTTTGTTGGGGCATTTTTTCTGGTTTTCCAGCGAGGTGAACAACTTCTTCTTCACCCTGGGTGAGATTTATGCGGCCCCTTGTCTCAGTTTAGGAGGTTTTTTCAGCCCAAAATCAATTGTAAAATGGGTATATGAACCACAGGGAATGGGGAGATAGTGGAACGGGACAACCATTTCAGAGGATGCACTTAAGCAGTTTGTACATTTTGATTTGGGCATCACACTTGATTGTTGGTGACTTTTTTCCAACATGTTCTGTGGAATTCATTTGACGCTGTAGCTAGGTTAGTTTCTGTTAAGGGATGTGAGGGAACGTTCAGACGAAAGCATGACCTTTACCATTCTTTCAGCTATCACTTTGTGCCTTTTGCCCTCGTGGTTTGACCTCAAAGGATCTCCAAGTTACCGGGCCTATTGGGACTTGCTTCCCAATTTATCTCATTTTACTTGTGGCCGGAGGCATGGCTGCTCTGGGCCTTTTTGAAGGATTTGAAGCAAAGCTCTGACGAGGACGGGGGCATTGGGCCCCCAGTTTCGCAGCATTCCATGAGCGAAATGCGCACAACTTAGATTTTGTTTGGGGACTTCACTGGTGTCAGTTGGGCCCAAGTTGGCAGTTCCCAAGAGTTGGGCCGGGGCCCTATTGCAAGTACCTGGGGCGAAGGGATGCCCTTTGTGCGCAGGACCAGCCGGTAATTGTGCACATTTTCTTAGAGGATCATGTCATTCAAGACTCATGGAAGCATGCTCAATGTCTCGCGGTTATTCTGCCTGCCTTAGCATTTATGTATTACTTCATTTGTGCCTGCCCACAACTTAGAACTGGCTTTGTCTGAAAATAGGCTACAGTACCCCTAAATCCACTGGTTAGTCATCATTTTCCCTGTTAAAATGCTATAAAATCTGGTTGGTGGTTTGGAACATTTTTTATTTTTCCATATATTGGGAATAGTAATCCCAACTGACTAATATTTTTCAGAGGGCTTGAAACCACCAACCAGAAACCAGAAATGGCTGTTTCTCGCTATTTCTTTCTTTCAAAATGCTGTCAGCGTGGCACCACGACATAGGGCGCCATGGCGTGCCGCTCTCGTCAGGAGAGCTGGAGATATGTCACCGCGCTGGCCATCAGTGCGGGACCACGAGTTCGTAGTGGTGAAAGATCGCAGTAAAATACCCCCCAAAAAAAACGCATGAAAAATAGCAATCTATAGATTATTATCATTTATTTTCCATTGATGATGGTAAATAGATGATATTTTCCCATATTTTCCCATTGATGATGGTAATGACGACGATGAAGGAATTTTTTTAGATGAAGGGCTGGGAAAAATCCAACAAAACAGGAGGAGTTTTGAGGCCTGCAGATCCCACCATGACCTGGATGTCCAGGTTAGCTACCATGACTTGGGGGATGAACATCCCTAGCTACCAGTCACCCGTATCAGTAAATCAACATAGATACCCTCTGGTAAACTAACATAGCGAACTGGAAAATCCACCCATTTTTAATGGGAACATCCACTATTTCTATGGTCATTTTCAATAGCTATGTTAAATTACCAGAGGATATGGACATCCCACTATTTTAATACTATTTATAGATCATTTTCCCCTCTTGAAGCTCATGGATTTCATAGTTTCCGATCATTTTCCCATCATTTTCCGAGGAGTTCAATGTCTATGTCAATCAACCCGAGAGTAACCGGGGTGTTTTCACCGCGGGCATTCCACCGGGCAATGCATGCTGGCCCTTTTAGGTCCCGCCTTACTGATCTTCCCCTTCGCGCTGCACGGGAGCCCAGGGGTCATGGCTTGGCATGGGAAAAAAATAGACCAGAAGATGATGATATTACGGTGGATATATATATATATATATAATTATATATATAGTATTCAATCATATTCAATCATGGTAGATACTCCACTATTACATAATACGATATATATATATACGTACTATATAATGATGGGGGTTTCTTAAAATGGTGGATCTCCGAAACCATAGGTTTCGGGTAAACAGTAAAGATATGGAAATTGGAAGTGATTATATATATATACATATTATATGTTCCATACTTGTTCTCGGTTTCAAATGTTGGCCCAGAAATCCACGATTTATATAGATACAAATGGCTTAAGTTGTTTGCCGCTAGACCTAGAACATCCTACAGCAAACACATCGTTGTCTTTCTGGCGCAGTATCTAAGAAACGCCGTTTCCGGAATGGTTCAACAAGTCAACAGCAACAGCAAAAACATGTGGGTTTTCCACAGTCATGCACCAAAAGTGACCAGCATTAATCAAACAAAACATGACAGCCTTTCATTTCCAGGGACTCACAAGTTAGTTCTCCCCAAAGCTCTTCACAACGCCCCTGCCTAAGGCTCCTTCTGTATGAGTCCCCACACTACCTCGCCATGGCCTCAAGACAAGAACGGTAGCCATCCCCAGCATGACCACAAATGGGTATCAAAGATTCCCAATGGTCGGTTTATTGTTGGGTTTATCACATTACTGATCATTACTGTATGGAAATCCCCGAACGAAATGGATGCTCAATGGTTGTTTAATGGGAACATCATTAAACAAATTCGGATTTTCTATACGTTTTTCAAGAGAAGTTGTTGTCACATCGCCACTCAGATTGTGATAGATTGTGGCTGGGAATGTTTAGGTCAACAAAATGCCCCACTTTTTTTTTTCAAAGAAAGCTAGTAGCAGCTAGTACATCCTCGTAAAGTTTCAAGAGACTTTTCGTGGTGACCAGCGGGATCTGTGGATCTTTCTGTTGCAAGGTCACAAAAGGACGGCATGAACAGGTGCGTGTTTCTTTCGGCCTTGCGGGAATAATCAGTTGCTCTTACCTATAGTCAATGTTGACGAGTTGAGTTGAACAAGCACCCGTTTGAACGAGCAATCTTCAGGATTTGCACGGCAGAAGGTTTGGAGGAATCAGGGTTGGTTTCTCCGCTGGTCAGAGTTTCGTTCATGTCTTCAGCACTTCCCCCTCAGAGGGATGTAATGATGTGCCTCATACCTTGTATATCTTGTAAGGGTAAAACATCCAACCATTTTTGCTTCGTCAACTTTCATGGTTTTTGTCGAACTCCCCAACTGTTTCCTTGTCATTGCAGCTTTTTAGCTTCAAAACCTCCAGTGCGATCTGCACAATCTGCGGTCAGAAGAAAGGCAGGGGTTGTCGAGCATGTCGAGCAATGTTGGGCGAACTGGCTCGGGATCATTGGGGAGGTGCTTTAGGGTGGGAGAAAGAATCACACACACACTAGACAAGAATGGATCATTATATGATCCGGCAGGAACTGAATCCTGAAACATGCAAACCAGCCTAGATTATTAGATGAATAAAAGAGCCACATGAGGTACTTCTCGCAAACGATGTAGGGCATCCGAAATTGTCAAACGTAGTCATAACCAGATTCCATAGAGTTTTGACCAGCATGTGGAAATCCAAAATAATGTTTCGGCGATTGTTTCCCAAAATAACCCATAGTTCGTCGGCGACAGGATCTCGGCGAAAATAAGTCAAAAAACATAATACTGTCGGCGATATGGTTTCGGCGAAAATCTGAGGAAGGTTCTGATGCATGTAAATTTCAAAATTGATTCCAGATTGCGACAACAGTGCAGCAAATTGTATAATATTGTGGTTGGGGTTCTAAGCTTGGCCCCTTGCTATGTCCGAAAAAAGCAGGTACGTGCAGTTGATCAGACTGCATATCCTCTCCAAACATCAGTAGCTTCGTTGGCCACGGACTGATGAATGGAGCCGTGGCCCCCTGCAAATTAGTGAAAACCAATCAGAAGTTTTACATCTGTTCAGATGGTACACACACACACACCTCGCATGTAGCGAGGTCGGTTTTTTGGAAGAACTTCGCTGGCGGAATCGGCAAGACACCAGTGAAAGTGAACCTGTAATAACCTAATGTACAAAAGGGCGGTCACTTCAGTCAGAAGAGGAATTCGGAGCTTGTAGAAGGACTTCCATAGCATCGTGGAAGCTCATGCGTTCAACCATCGCCCAAGTCTGATCGAATTCCCCCGATGCCGTAGCAGCCTTCAAGGTGTCAGATAGATCTTTGGCTAATTCATGGATCCGGGTGGTCAGCCTTGGTTCATCTCCAGGAGATGTCGTCTCAATGGGCACATTGTGAAAAGGATGGTGTCCATGTACAAGGGGAATCTCAAAATGATGTCGCCAATAGTCCGCTGTGCGCAGGGACCACTCCCAGTTGCCGGAGAGACCATAGAAATAGTGTTCAGGGTCACGACATCGGGAATGCCCTAACAAAGGAATTTCTTCAATGAATAGCTCCCTGGTGTTGTTGGAGTGGGTAATGACCTTGAATTGGATCTGGTGAACCACGCGAGAAGAGAACTGAGCACGATGGAAGTAGTTGTGTGTAGAACTTGAGTCTGTCGGAAATGGAACGCCAGGAGGTGCTGGTCCTGAATATGTATCAGAATGGGCCAGTGTACCCGTAGCAGGTGCCGTACTGTCAGTTACCAAAGGTGCCGGAGTAGGGTTGGTCGTAGTGTCGGGAGCTCCTGAGTGACATAGTGCAGAAGTCGAGGCGTCTGGTACTTGAACTGGGTCGGTAGGAGCGAGTCCACGAGTAGAGTTCGCAGGCCAAGACAAGCCCGCCACGGTCGCGTCTCGTTTGTGTTCCATGGGTGAAACTGTCACAAATACGAGAAATAGTGCAACAACGGCTGAAGCATCAAGAATTGCAGAAGAAAGCCAATCCCGAAATTGATAATATTCACAAAAATGAAAAAAAGTGAAATCCAGTCCTCAATCAAGTGGGTCAGTTGCGACGGAGAAGCCACAGCTCCAAGTCAAATAAAATAGAAATCGAAAAATCCTTTGTGTAAGTGGGGTGTCAAGGAGGAATTGAAAACCCTGTAGCATGGTCTTTTTTGGCCGGCTAGTGCATCAGGGCAGGATCACACCGGAGCTAATTTTGTAGCATTTCAAGCGTAGTACGAAAGGCTGTCTGGTACCCGGGATGAGGAAAGAGGATTCGCGGGAATTGTACTGCCGAAGTCGCCACTCAGGTCGGTATGCCTCCAAAAGCTGCAAGACCGTCATATCATTGGAAACTTGGAATGTATCACCGTCCAAGTCGCAAAAGCGAAACTCCAGGTTCGAGGGATCAATTTGGATGTCCCATTGGGACCTCAATCTTTTGGAGATACAAAAGCGGAGTTCGGCAATTGGGATGAGGCCGGCTTCAACTGGTTCCATCTGACGTGACCAGGTAAACAAAGCTGCAAGTTCAAAGCCACTGACATGTCTAAAATTGGAGTTCACCAGAGCCATGTAGTGTTCACGGTCAGGTTCGCTTCGGTGAGTCAATGCCTGTAAGGGAGAGAAGTCAACCAAGATAAGGACAGGTCTGTTTGGAGGAGGGTTCACATCACCAGGGAGGCCTCGATGTCCAGCAATCCACCCAACGGTTCGTGTACCAAGCGGTGTCTCAATCGTAGATGTGGCGCGATATGGATTGGGTCGAGAAGAACGAGCCATTGCGTCGAATGTGAAGTATCGAGGATAAAGCGCAAAGCCCAAGCTGCAAAATGGGTTGGAATAGCCACAGGAACAAGCACAAAGTGTTAGAAATAAAAGAGAAACGGTGTACCTAGTAAATGGTCACACAAAGAGACGATGAATCACAGGTCTTTTTTCCGCCGACAAAGAATGTGGTATATTACACACTTGAATCCGACATATCCATCGGGTCAATATCGTTCGCATCCAACGGACCATGTACTTGTTGAGGAGGGACAGCGGGGCGAGTGAGATATACAGTACGGTGTAGTGTTGCCGGTGGGGAAGACGGTGGTGTAGACCGCCAAGGTGGCCAATATAAAGAGGTAGTGGTTCCTTGAGAATGGTGTTGGGCGGAGCGTCCCCAGCATGACTGTAAAATATGGAGGTGGTCCGGTATCGCTTCGTACGGCTGTGAGACATGGACGTTGGAGTGTTCAGGGTGTGGTAAAACGGGAACAGTAGTTGCCGTAGGGGAGGAGGATGATGGTTGAATTGGTACATCATAGTATCTGCGCCAATGGTTAGCTGTAGTGCGCAAGGTTGCCTGGTCGTTGGTGAGGTGCATGTTCTCCAGGAATGTTTCCACTGGTTTCCACGTTTCAAGACCATCAAGTGTCCTTTCCACGATCCAAAGTTCATCTGAACGGTTAGACAAAGGATAGCTCAGCTTCTTGATGAAGACGGAGTGGACAGTGGTAGAGGTCGGAATCATTCTCGCTGCACGAGGAATATAGGATGCCGAGGTGGGATCATCCGGTGGCAAGTGTGAGGCAAGGCCATGTATGGATGTAGGTGGTAAACCGTGCGAGACCAATCGAGCAGGATCATCCGTGTTGGAGGTCATCATGTACGATCAAAAGAATATGATAGCGGGAAATACTAAACTGAAGCCAAAAGGCCGTGGGGAAGGTCAATGATGAAGGAATAAATAACGAATATCACCCACTGGAAAACGAGAAAAGGATGACACAAGGGAAAATCAGAACCGGGGTGGTGGACATCACAACGAATGTTGGTCTTTTTCCTCATAGACGTGAGCCGTGTCAAGATCCATCAAGACAGCTAATCACTCAGCGGCTTTAGTGTATCGGGTGGCCGTGACGAATGGATGTCCACGGGGAATCACTTGAACATGTACAGCAAAGCCAGTGTCTTGTGCATCTGGATGTGGTGTCAGCAGCAACGGAGAACACTCGCGGGTCGTGAAGGCATCGAGATGTTGATGAGTTTTCCATCTCGGGTAGAACCAATTCAAAACATCCAGAAGAGAATGAGGAAGGTCGTCAAGCATCTGAGCTCCTTGATCGGTGTCAATCATCATGTAGAACTCCGACGCTGGTAGGTGTATGGACCAGCGTTGTAGCAGTGTGTCGGTGACTACGGTTTTGAGGTCTGAAACGAAATGACTGCGAGCATAGTCCGGGTAGATGACCTTGAACGTCTGGAACAAGCTGTCATAGGTGGCCGTAGGAAGGTTGCCCGCGACATTGGGGGTCAAGATGTTGTAATAAGGGTTGCGTACGGCCAGTTGTTGCATCGGCTTCAGGTCCAACTGGAAAATAACCGGTCGGTGAGGTGTCGGAGGCGAAGACCGGTTGGGTGGGTGCCGGAATGACGTAGAGCCCATAGCGGAAGATGACGTCCTGGTTGGAGAGCGTGAGCGTCGTGTAGGTGAGATCCTCTCGTGGGACATAGCTCGCTGTTGGCAATAGCGGTCCAGGTGAACGCGGAGAGACATAATAAATGGCTGGCGGGTTGTGTGATACGACGTGTCAGAATTCAATGGGACAACAGCGTCCATGGTTCTGAAGATAAACAAGAAGAAAATTCCCAAAATGAAGGCCAACGGGTTGGTGAAACAGTAATACCGTACCGCAACGTACCTTTTCCTTGTGATTCGCATATGTCAATGGTCAGCCAAGTTGGTCTTTGATCTTATTCCACATAGAGCGAACATCTTCTTCAGACTTGCCCATCTTGGTCGAGATCACCTTCCATGAAAATCGAGATTTTTCGTCAACCTTCAGAGTGCGTAGTTTCTGTTTGTCTTCAGAGGTCCAGAGTGATAATGGGCTCGAGGAGCGGGATCGGGATTGGTCACGGCGGCGACGACGCTTGGCAGGAGCCTTTGGAGCAGATTTGGCTTTCTGTTTGCGACTTGGCGGTGATGGTGTTCTAGTAGAAAGCTTCGAAGGTGCAGGTAAAACATCAGGAGGCGGAGCAGCAACATGTTGGTGCGGCTCGGGAAGATGGGTTTCCACCAGTTCATCCATAAGTGTCTCTTCTTCTTCCAGATCCGGCGATGGGATGGGGGCATTGTCAATGAAGGCATTGGTCTGGTCCGAATAGTGTGGTCGTAGGCCATCAGGTTGATTCCATACGTCTGTACTGGGAAGAGGAGTAGGTTCAATGTTGGGAATGAGAGTGGGTGGTAGTAGCGCCATTGCTCGATGTAGTAGAAGGTAAGCATGGTGAACATCATGAAGAAATTGAAGAAACACTGGTTCTTGGATCGGAATTGACGTCGTAGGAGACGAGGAAGCCATGACAATGCGTCGAGTATGGGCCAACAGGTAAATGGAGCCGAGTTTGAGGGTAAGCCTGCTGGAAAAGC